ATCGTCTTCTTTTCTGGTTCTCCAGGTCGACCGGAAACCAGGCAACTTATTGCCAGACAAACATGAGTCATTTGTAGACCATGAATTTTCGAAATTTTAAATACTGAACTCACGAATGAATGAAGGGTAAGAAAATATAGGAAATGATTAAACTAAATGGGATATTAATTAAAACTATTCATATATAGCGGATTTTGATTAATATTACACATTTTCTCTGGGCGACTTAAGAGATATATATATTCCCATGAAAATATATGCCGGGTCATAAATAATTTAATTATTTCTCGCTATGCGAATAAAAAATGCAGAAATTATAATTGCATTGAAAAAAATAATTACGAAAGAGTCTTATTTCAGGACATCAGTCATCTTACCACAAAGTACACTGCCTTAATGATCAGTTAAAATATTAGGGAGACCGGAAAAAGTCTGCTTAATCCATCGGGGTCCCAGACCGATATATAAATGCTTAACTGGGTTCCCTAACCAAGAAGTCCGGATTATATATATATATATATATATATATATATATATATATATATATATATATATCATCTATCTATCTATCTATCATCCGAAGGACCCGCAACTTTCACTCCAAAGTGCCGAGCGCTTGGCGAAGGAACAGTTGCCACCTAATTTTTTATCGACTCAGGTCAGTCGCGGCCGTGATTCAAACACACGACCAATCGATCACGGACCAAGCGCTCTACCGACTGAGCTACCGTGACGGCTCTCTAGCAGATAGAGAAAACTCTTTGTTAGAATTGTATATGCTTACTGCTGAGCTGGTTCACATACACATGTATCTCAGACTGATGACATTGTTTAAATCTCACATCCTCTCTTTCTCTCTAGCGCATTCTCTCTCTCTCTTCAAGTGAAATATTAAAACTTCTCTTAAAATATGCTTAACACGATTAATTTATGTAGGAAGTGCGACACAGCATTTTTGACAAAATGACAAGCACAATCTTGAGGATCCGCCTCAAAATCTATTATTGTACACACACCTTTTCTAAAATTTCCTCGTGATCTGTTTATAATATTGTGAGATATATTTTTCGGACAAAGAGACCGACAGGAAAAATGATAAAAAAACATCGTTCAAACTTCGATTTCGGAAATAATTTACCGTTTTTTTTTTATAGTTACATGTATCTTTGAAGTTCCTTCCTCATTTCAAGATTTATGAAATGTTTGCTTTCCAAATGCTTAGATTTCATGACTTTTATGGCTTATAGTTCAATAGCTTTCATTAGAATTCTGATGGACAAGAACTTAAATCAAAGTCACAGGGCAAGTTCAACAAATTTTAAATGTAAGCTAAAATAAGAATTCAAATAAAAGTATTGAACAATGGTAATTAAGTTAAAAAAATTCACATATCTTTGTTTAATTTTTTTTCAAAGTGCTGGTACACTTTTAAGGTCAGACGACACTTTCCTCAGTAATGTATAATTGTCTCAAAAGTTTATCATTGAAGTACTGCTACTTTAACAAGATTCCTCAGAGAAAATTGAGTCAAAATTTTTATTCTTGGTATCTTGAGTTTTATTTCACGTATTAACTTCAAATATTGCATGTATGTGCAATATTGAAATAAAAAAAAATTCACAAATGATGGAAATTTTGTTTGATTATCAGAATTATTTCAGAAGTTACATTGATTTTAATTTTTGACTTGAGTCTGTTCTCAGTTTATGGTCTTGGGGCCAGGCATATATATTCAAGACATCAGATAAGACCGCCGAACATTAACTGCCAAAATTGGAAATATGCAGCTTTCGTCATTTCCATCTGTTACAGTCAAAAAATTTAATGATAGACAATGAAATGGGCGGGTACAATTTGACACGGACGTCCGTGAAAATAATGGATTGAAATTTTAGTTTGAAATTCATTTTCAATCCACCTGAGCTGTTTTTAATAGCTAAGTGTGAATGTATGATCCAAAAGACAAATAATTTCAGTTCCCAAATACATGTTTTTGAAATTCATATTTATATTTTTTTTAACCTATAATTTTAAGGACACGTAAAAGTCATAGAAGACAGAGATCATTTTTTCAGGGGACGCCCATTTGATTCTAGAGGGGGGTTGGGCAAAAATTGTCAAATCATGCCTTCACATGAAAAAATATTTATTTCTAGGATGACAAGAGTACTTTATTTTGTTCATTGAAAAATGTTTGACAATCAAAAACAGGGAGAGGTTGTCCGAGCTAAAAAAAATTTCTTTTTAATTTCCAAGATCGTTCAGCCCCTCCCCCCCCCCCTCCCCGCAACACAAGCATGCACATACATGTACATAACAGAAATCAAATATTAGTCCCTTTATATATTTTTTTAAAACACTGGACAGAAATTCTGATTTATATAAATTTCAAACTATTCCGAGATTGCAATTTAATATTATTTGTCTTCTGGGTCAATCAGTGACTCCGTGCCTTCTAGCGAAGCTGAGGTGGATTGAAAATGAATTTCAAACTAGAATTTCAATCCAATGTTTTCTCAGGCGTTCGTGTCGAATTGTACCAGCCCATTCCATTGTCTATCATTAGATGTTTTGATTGTAACAGATGGAAATGAGGTAAGTTGCATAGTTCCAATTTTGCCAGTTAATGTTCCGTGGTCTTAATGGTGTTTCCTATAAAATCCTGTTAGAAATCGTTTGTATTGCCAAGAACACAATTTTTGATGTACTTCTTTTTTCAAGACATATTGAAAACAGTTTAGAATTCACAAGAGAATGACAAATATAAATAAATGTTTATATATTACGAGAGATACAAGATAGATATTTGAGGAACGATTCGTCAGACCTTAACTAGGCAAACATGTTTTTTTGCACGTGCACTCGGTACGAAAAAAAAATAAGAATCAAATTTTTGATTTCTTAATTTGTTTTCACTATTTCTGATAGGCTTACAGTTAGTCAGAGTTTCCCCCTACCTAATATAAGATTAGAATTCTAAATGATATAATAAAATATATGCACAAAACTAAGCATAAAGTAACACAAACTAAATGTACACACAAAAACATCCTGTTTTAGGACACTGCATTTAATTATTTTCTTACTGATGTTCTCATATTACCACCCATTTTAAATCATTGTAAACTCTTCCAGGCTCTGTTATTACTGAGTATTTTCAAAGTTAAATATATACCATTTATCGGGTGTGTTTATATCCTTTGTTTAATTCAAATTGAGCAGGATGGATATTTATTCCATTTAATCATATTACATTCATATTAAATTAACAAAATTTCAAAATTTATATAGAGTTAAATATAATTAACTTACTCTATAAAGCGTTTAAACTTTGAAATAATTAAAAGAACTGACTAACATTAAAAAAAAATAAAATTAATAGACACATAATTCGTGTATTTAAAGATAACATTTAAAACATTCTAATAAATGTATCCCGCTTTAAAGAAAGGGGGTGGAAGACCTAATAAAAATTATAAGACCTATTATAAATACCATAGATGGAAAAGTCATTGCAACATCTACTTTCGTTGAACTATTGAATGTGAGCGTGAAATTTTATTTTCGTTTATGACGCTGAACTTCCACTGCGCTCAAATAACCCCCCACCCTAACCAATCCGTGTGATGGGGCTTTGAATGCCGAAGCATTCCACACACTTTATAAGCAAAATACACGTGGAATGTGAATATATTTCATTGAGAAGAACAAAAAAGTTATCATCTGGAAAACTTCTTATCTCATGTATGAATTTTATAAATATCTTACTTTGACCTTTTGGACTTTGAAGGCCATAGGCTTTTTAAGATGTTGTCCAAAACGAAAGTATAACATACAGAAATTATGAACATCTGACCTTGACCTTTGACCCCAAAGTCAAAAGGGGTCTTCATTAGCCATTGGGAATTTTATTGCAAAAGCACAAAGACTTTTAGAGATATCGCCCGGCACAGAGAGAATATGTATGAATTTCTGACCTTGACCTCGAAGCCAATAGGGGTCTTCGTTAGGCCGTAAGAGTTATAAAAAATTTCCTTTCAAAAGCTAAAAGGGTTTTTGAGATATAGTCCGGAATCGAAATTGTTACACAGACATAATGACAGACGGACATAGCTAAAGTAATATCCTTCACTTTCAGTGAAAGTGGGGGGCAAAAATTATTGTAAATAGCTGTTTTATAGATACTTTTTTTTAAATTAAAAATGACATTAAAGCAAAACCCCGTTTTAGGGAGTTTCCAAAGTATTGGAAAGAAATAAATATAAATTGTTGAATGTGTTCACTTGAAATTACTGATTAAAAGCAATTTCAAGGCGATGGGTCTTAAGAAAGTTTGGAAAATGACGTAGATTGTTCATGACTCATTTCACCTAAGTGTCTTGTTTCGAAAGCGAGGTTGAACTAGGATCTTGAAATTCTCAAAGAGCAATATCTCGCCGAAGATTTCGTCTTGAATGTTTTGCGGTGACATCACAATTTCATGTAATGTCTGAATACAGTTAGTATTTATAAAAATTGTTTTTATAAAAAATCTATATTTATAATCATTAGGCTTTAGATAACTCATTGATTGTTTCATTGTTTCAAGTCGAATTACGCCTTCATTTATCTATTTAGTTCTCTTCGCTGCTTCATACCAGTATAACAAACAAATGATGTAAATATTGGGGGGGGGGGCTCTCATTCCAGTACCAAATCCTGTATCAGATGTTTGTGAGACAAAGTAGGGAAGCGAACTGATTTAATAAGATAGGCGCAATCATATTGGCTAGATTCAGGTATGTAATTATTTCTATTTTAAAGTAAAAATATTAATGTTTGAAATAAAAAGTGGAAAGAGGGAAATTGTAGAAAACATATAAGTTCATATAAGTTTAACTGGTAGAAGACACACTTTAACTAAACCAAACACACTGTTGACATACATGTACTTCCCGCTTCAAGTTTCACATTAAATTTGTGCTTCTTTAAAGCTATACTTCCTCCTTTTAACACAGAACATGGCTCTTAACACTTCAGTACGTTTGGTGATTTGTTGGCTTTCCATTGCATTTTTAAAAGGTATGTTATTATATTAAAGACTTTTAGTCATTAAAATGGTTAAGTACATGTATTTACTAATAATGTTATGTTTTTGCTATTTCATGGCCATGTATGTACATATTTTCAATTTTAAAACAGCTATCGTAAGCATGTCATGCATTAAAAAAACGAGACTTACTTAACTGATGAAAAAATAGTGATGTTATTAAACATGTGCTGTTTTACAAAAAGCATGTTAAATAAAAAGATAAAGACTATGAAATTTTAAAAAAATACAAAGAGAATGTTTTTTGAAAGTATGTTAATCAATGAGAGAGCTTTAAAGTCGTATCTACATGTACTAAATATTTCGTACTCTTTGGGGGAATAAGCCACTGACACTCTTATAAGTCGGTAATAAAGCTGTTAATTTCAGATCGGCACTAATTCTTTGTATTTAATTGGGTGTCAATATATGTTTTGGGGTATGACACCATTATAAGAACTTCATATTGTTAAGTAAACAATATTCACAATAATTAATCAACATTTTAAACAAATATAAATAAATCAAAATACGTAAGCACTTGTTCTTTACGAATTTGGCAACCTGTGATGTTCCTTTATTGTATGAAAAAAACCTTAAGAATATATTCCGATTTTTGTCATCAATAATCGTTGAAATTGTTAAGAAAAAGCGTATTTCTTAGTTAAAAAAATATACCGCAATTTTAAACCGGACAAAGGTCTTGACAAAATTTAACTCTCAAAAAACCGTGCGTGTGCGTGTAAACTGGAAATGTTTATGATCGACGGGTCTAGGGAGGAGTATTTCCCTGGTTTTAAATAATTTTATGTTAACTTATGTTGTAAAAGTCTTAAAATACATCCGAACCACAATGAATTAAATATTAAAATCATAAGGAAGTCACAAAATAAAAATCTGTAGACAGTTTTTTTATTTTTATTTGCGCTTTTCCTTATTTATATAAAAGGTAAACTTAAGGTATTCATGATCTTAAAACTAGACAGATTTGCGGAAGATTTTAACTTCCTTTTCATCCGTTTTAAAATTTTCCTCCTTTTCTCATTTCATGATGTCTTTTTTATCATATAATATACTTTATGAGGAGAAAAAATTATTTCATTCATAAACTAAGTACCAAAAGCTTGCTTATAAAATATTTTTTACGAATATTATTCATGTGAATGTTTATAGGTACATGTACTTTCATTCTTAAGCAGTTAACATGATATTTGTTTTTTTTTTTAATGAACTTTATGGGTCTCTTTGCAGAATGTGATGCAGCAGTAAGATATTCCTACTATCGCTACTACTACTACTCGTACACCAACTATTATTACAGTTACTACAGCAGGTAAGGGGTATGAAATCTAAGACTTATCTTTGGTTGCAATTGAACAGATGCCCAACTGAACTATACCAAATATTGGAAAAATTAAGCACATGATAATAAAAAATCGAATTACAAAATATCAAAGAAAATTATATTAAAAAAAAAAAAAAAACTTATTACAAAATAGTTTCAAAATGAAAGAAAAAAAAATCAATTCCCCCCTCCCCATTTAAAAGGCAAATCAAAACAAAATATAAAATAACAGAAAATAAAAATATAAAATCTAAATTTATGTAACAAAAAGAAAGATTTTGGAGAGCACTGTTTCAACTTGCAAGTACAATGTTGATTTTCTATATCATTTAATTTCTATAAAATAATTGATTCTGATTGGATAAAAAATTCTTTTGATAACTGCATCAATAAAATCTGGAGTTCACTTGCACTTAGCAGCCGGAACTACTTTGGCTGACTTTACATGTATATTTCCCGCTTCCAGATTACTTTGTGAAAGAAAAATGAAATACTTTTACTCTATTTTCCTGAATTTCAAAACTTGTCCGTTACGTTCCTGATTTATTTCCTACTTTCGTTTCTTTTCGAATTATCCCCCTTTGCTAAACAAATAAAATCGTCTGCAATGTCAACAATGCAGTTGCGGAAAAGAAATCATCATATGTATGTTATATGTTTGCCTTTGAGATAACTGATACGAACAATAGAACTGTGAAGAGATGTTTTATGCTACCCAAGAGGAGAAATGCCGTTAATCTGTTAATTCTTAGGAAACGAATCCATATAAAGCAGCGGGTCCAGATGGGATTAAACCAAGAGTGCTGAAGGAGTTGGCTGACAGTGTATCCCCCATCCTCACCATCATCTTCAGGAAATCTTTACAAAGTGGAGAGGTTCCATCTGAGTGGCGTAAAGCACATGTCAGTCCGATTTTCAAGAAGGGTGACAGATACAAGGCCGAGAACTATCGACCCATTTCCCTTACATGTATCTGCTGCAAGCTTATGAAACACATTGTCACCAGCCATATCATGCAGCATGCTGACCTTAACAACATACTGTACCCACTCCAGCATGGTTTCCGTAGCAAAAGATCCTGTGAAACCCAACTCATTGAGTTTATAGATGACATAACCACCCACATGGCTGCCGGAAAGCAGACAGATGTATTGATTATGGATTTTTCTAAGGCTTTTGATAAAGTTAGCCATAGCCTCCTCATCCATAAACTCCGACACTATGGGATCCAGGGCAACGTGAACAACTGGATTTCTAGCTTCCTCTCTAACAGAACACAAGCCGTAGTTGTTGGTGGAGAGATGTCCAGCTATGTTAGTGTCGAGTCTGGCGTACCCCAAGGATCAGTCCTTGGGCCATGTTTATTCCTTTTCTACATAAATGACATGCCAGAAGGCCTCAATGCCACAGTAAGACTATTTGCTGATGACACTATTGCTTATCTTACTGTCACATCAGAATTGGATACCCAGACACTCCAGGCCGACCTAGATAAATTGGGCATGTGGGAAAGGAGGTGGAAAATGGAATTCCACCCAGACAAGTGTAATGTACTATCGGTCAGCAGGAAGTCCAACCCGATACATCATCAATATAGGCTACATGACCATACTCTCGAGCACGTAAAGAGGGCGGAATACCTTGGCTGTCTAATAACATCCGACCTGAAATGGAGTGACCACATAAATAACATCTGTGGTAAAGGAAATAAGACCTTGGGATTCCTCCGTCGTAACTTGAACATCAGCTCAACTTCAATAAAGGAGAGTGCATACAAATCGTTAGTCAGGCCCCTGTTGGAGTACGCAGCACCTGTCTGGGATCCCTACACCCAAAAAGACATCCATAACCTAGAAATGGTACAACGACGTGCTGCAAGATACGTAAGCAACAGGCATGGCAACAGATCAAGTGTAGACAGCATGATTCAACACTTACAATGGCAGTCACTTGAAGAACGTAGGCGAATATCCAGACTCGTCCTATATTTTATAAAATTGTTCATGACGAAGTTGCCATCACCAAGTGCCATCGACTCATTCCATCATTACGTCGATCACGACATACTCATCATAAAGCCTACCAAATACCATCTTGTAAGAGTGATTATCAAAAGTATTCCTATTTTCCTCGTACCATCCAAGAGTGGAATAAACTACCATCAGGAATAGTCTCGGCGAATACACCTGAGACCTTCAGGTCTCAGGTGATCGCCTTCCAGCCATAAATAAGAAATATAATTTTAATCTTTTAACCTTTTAAAGTTTTAATTTTGATCATATCATGCGCACCACATTTGGCATAATAATCAGCTTGTTGATTGTGGGCAATACTTGGCAGAAGCAGAAGAAAAACGACAATGACTGACTGAGCGGGGACGGAATTCTTTCAATGCTAAACAGTCGGCAACCGACTCTTTCAGATTTTACAGCATGTTGTGATATGCTTGGACAGGTTGTGATACGTATACATTTATATGTTCGGTTTGAAATTCAGATGAAGAGATGCGCAAATGAAATCCAAAATTCCTGTGACCTACATGTACTGTAGAGAAAGTTGTTAAGGTTATATTTGAGTAGCTTCCCTTTACTTTTACGAACCTAAAGATATCAGCTTACCAGGGATAATATACCCATTGGGATAGAGCAAAAATTAATAACATAACAGGTAAGTGTTTATGTTAAAACTGTTATAATTGTCAGAAAGAGCTGGTAATGGCACGACAATATTTGAGAACGTCGTTTCTCCCTGTTACTCTGAGTCTGAAAATTTAGGTACTCTAACTAAAGTATATATGTTGGACAGTCACTCGTTCTCAGGTTAAATCTCACCTTGAAAGATAAATATTAGATTATAAGAAATAAATCTTATAATTTTTTATTTGATCGATGCATCAAAGAAGACTTGGATGGAAAATTTCTTCAATGCTCGTAGATTTGTACATTCAGCCATTTTGAAATTTAGCAACGTTGTCGTGATGTATACCTACGCACAGTCTTTGATGCGTAAATTAAATATTAAAGTGAAAGACACTTTCATTATATTTTTTTTAAAATCATAATTAAATGATAAGAAATGAATGTTATATTTTTTTCTTTGACCGAAGTATCAAAGAAAAAATTTGGACGGAAAACGTTTTCATCAATGCGCTACGCGCATTGATGACGTTTTCCGTCCAAATTTTTTCTACGCGCATTGATGAAAACGTTTTCCGTCCAAATTTTTTCTTTGATACTTCGGTCAAAGAAAAAAATATTACATTCATTTCTTAAATACAGTTGTTCATGCTTTGCGTATGATTGAAGATTAAGCATAATACAGCCAAGTGCAAGTCTAAACCTATTCTCTTTTTGTTAACTACAGCTCTACTTCTAGTTCAAGTGTTGGACTGTATGTAGGAATTGTCTTTGGAATTGCGGCCTTTTGTACTCTTGTGAGTATTGTGATCTGCTGCCTCTGTTGCCGAAGAAGACAGAACACTTCTGGTATAGTACTCACTAATCCATCAACGCAGCAAACGATTGTTACATGTAAGTAACAATACTTATTAGTTGCTTTAAAGATAATGTTAGATCACATTTCAGTTACCCGGTACATAATTACTAGCTAAACTACAAATATGTGTTTATAGAGTCAAAGTATCTACATGTATTAACATGTGCAATTTTCACATAAGAAAAACCAAAAGCTTTGTCATTCATTAAAAGCAATCGGGTGTGTTCTAACTGAAAAATAACAAGAAGGATTCTAAGTAAATATCAACATAAAAAATCATTTACGGTCATAATCCTTCTGTGTACAGAAAATTAACTCTGCAATGCAAGAGTCTTGTGAAGCGTTCTCAAAATCTGCCATACATCCCTGATCATCAAGTGTCCGATAAAATACATATCGAAACCAACTTTGGAAATCTATATTTTAGAATATAGAGTACCTCATTCGAGCCAATCATAGTTTATTTACAAACACACTTTGCCGTTGTTTATTCAACTGTGCACCATGCCGTATGAAATCATAATCAGAAGGAATTGAACGATGAGAAATATTGAAATAGGTGAAAAACTTTATTTTCAAAAGATTGTAGGAGTTTTGTAGGAGTTTTCAATTTTTTTTTAATATATTGCCAAAAGATGCATTCCAAAATTCTATCTAAGAGTACCAGATTAAACCAAGATTCGAACCTGTATCTTGGATTAAAAAAAATGACACATCATCTCGTCTTAAGTAATCTTTAAATGAAATATAGACATCCAACGCTTTTCTATTAGAAAATTTTAGACCTGTTATGAATTTTACACTTTTTATACCAGTGACCTTGGACTTGCCAGAATGACCTTGGGTAAAGGTCAAGACACTATGTCATGAAAAATTACTGTACCAAGTAAGATCTTCCAATGATTCTCCATTACAAAGTTAAAGCCCGGACGAGCATTGTATACTTTTTCTGCCAGTGACCTTGAACTTGCCGGAATGACCTAGGTTCAAGATCAAGATACTCAATCTAGTCATGAACAATCTTTGTGCCAAGTATGAGATTCCACTGATTTTCTGTTACAGAGATGTTGCACGGATAGACAGACGGACCAGTTGATTCCTTAATACACCCCCTCCGCTAAAAACTTCGTGTGTTGGCGTATAAATAAAGTTGATTCTTGGAAGGGGGGGGGGGGGTTGCCCAAAATGAAAAATGTTTGAAGATAACGAACAGTAGTCAAAAGTCCATTAATTGAGGTGTCCCATTGCTCCTGAAAAGTCCCTATGATCTTCTACAAGCGGATAATGCCCTTTGACCTACAGATATACTGATATGTCAGTAAATGAAATGATGGTGGATGGTATGCATTCATTCATTAAGGATGGAGTACTTGATGCGGTTTGTAAGTGAAAGTATACCTGCTTAATGAGAATCTTTGACGTGCCAATTAAAATTTCTCTGTAAAATTCATATCTCTGCAGAAATTTTACAGATATTGTATTCGAATTTGAACTGTTCCTTCAATTTCCAATCGATAAAAAATATGAACATCGAACAACCATACATTTTAGATATATTAATTCAATATTATTATTTTACTCATCAAGGTAAAGTAGTGGACTTTTGTTGGATTCCAAGTCACATTAGCATCCCTGGAAACACCAAAGCTGATGGTGCTGCAAAAATAGCACTTCAGTATAACGTTACTTTTTTCAAATTACCATACTTTTTTCAAATTACCATACACTGATATGAAATATTTTGTTAAACTTTATGTAAATTCACTCTGGCAAATTTATTGGGAATTTTGTGATACGAGTAAGCTTTATGCTATAGAAAACAAAGTCAACAAATCATCTGATTTCGGCTTGAAACGTCAAGACGAAGTGATTATTTCCAGAATACGTATTGGTCATTCAAATATAACACATGAATATTTACTTACTCGAGAATTGCAACCAGAATGTATATCATGCGAATGTCCGTTAACTATCAGTCATATTCTTTTGGAATGTACCGATTTTTCTCCTACTCGAAGTAGACTTTTTAAAAATGTGCAAACGATGCATGAACTTTTTTACAAATATAAATGTTTATACAATTTTAGAGTTTTAGAATTTTTACATGAAACTGATTTTTACTGCAAAATTTAAAATGATATAACTTAAGAATTTTGTATATATATTTTAACTGTTTACATATTTTTAAATTTTGAGTCCGTCGGATGGGACGTTAAATGGTGCCCCGTGTCAAGGATAACAACCCCCTTGGCACGTAAAAGATCGTTTCTCTGGTTTTCGAAAAAGAGTAGGCTCACTGGGGGCCGCCAGAGAAACCTAAAACTTCATCAATGGGCATATACACTTAATTTGATCGCCAATATGGCTGAAATATTGCCGACTCGGCGTTAAACAATAATAGTCAATCAATAAATTTCCATTGATAGTGATGTATTGATTGTATGTTGTTTTACGTCCCATTCGAGAATTTTTCACTCACCGTTCATCAAAATCAAAAAGTGCACTTAATTATGTATCTTAGTGTGGTCTACTTTTGTGTCAAGTTATATTGAAAGCAGACCAAAACTGTAGGAGGAGTAGCGTTTTGAAAAATTGTTTACAGACAGACAGACGGACGACGTTTTGCTTTATCTACAGGTCATCTCGATAAAAAATCAAAGCAAATTTTTGCCATTATGATACATTAGTATATATATATATATATAAATATATATATATATATATATATATATACGATAGGAGAAGAAAATAACTGACAACAATATTTAAAATAAACTCGTATATACTTAACTTCTCATTGGTCATTTACAAAATTATTTTTTTTTTGTTAAAAGCATTCTGATTGCACATACGAGTACTCTGAAGTTGATATTAAAAAGATGCTTGAGTTTCTGATTGCCAATATCCATGTAGTTTTTGGAGATCAGGTCTTTCAACAATCTGATGGAATTACCATGGGTACCAATTGCGCTACCTTGTTAGCAGACCTATTTTTGTATTCATATGATGATAATATGACGACTTCAATTTTTCAATCGACAACTTCCCTTACTTATGTAGCAATACCCTAATCACCTCCATATGGGGTTTATGTTTCCAAGTTGATTCTTTACGAAAGAGCGTGCTCTACGTATGAACAATTTCTAAAACGAGGCAAGCTATTGACAAAGAAGTTGATGAAACAAGGATATCAACAGTCTCTTTTGAAGTTATCATTTCGCAAGTTTTATGGTCGATACAATGACCTTGTCAGCAAATACAACCTATCATTAAGTAAAATGCTGACTGACGTTTTTCATACTAATTGTTAGGCCATTATTTACACACTAAATTGTCTACGGATTTTTCTGTTTCCCGATCATGACAAAGAGTGGGTGTGACCTGTCGGCAGGGGATACTCACTCCTTGGCACCTGATCCAACCTCTAATGTTTTGTTGCTCTGCTCCCGATTTGTATTGCCTAAATGGAGCTTGAACACTGTTCGTTATCTTCATATTTCATTCGAATCATCTATCTATATTTTTATTTTTTTTTTTTATTTTACAGCAAATGTTTCTGCAGGAGTTACCTATCCTCAACAGCCAAATCAATACGATGGCCAATGCAATACAGCATTTCATTATGGAATGGGAGCCCCTGGCCAAACTTTTGACAATTCTTCTGCTCCACAGAACGATGAATCAGCACCATCTTACGAGTCGGTGGTAGGTCAAAATGGACCTATTTCCTCTTCCTTCCCAATGCAGGAAAACGTTTCGAACACGACATGTTCTTTGCCATACAAAACTTGAAAGTTTCTACATACAGTTTCGAAACATACATTAACCTTTACTATTCTTTGACAGTCTTAATTTTTCTTTGCAGACAAATAGATGAAATATACTGATATGCAAATAAATAGTTGATCACTCTTAGATTATTCATATCTTTAATGATGCTATAGCAGGGACATATGTGTTCCTTGGAACACTCTAGTTTGTGTATTTTTTACCCCTTGTGACAAAAAGATATCCATGAATAAAAGATTTAAATATTTCCGAGTCATTTCCTAATACTTTTTCACATATTAATTTTTTCTATCAAAGATTCAATTAAGGAATTTTTTTAATCAATGTGAAAGATAAAGTTCTTTAAAAATTAGAATATTCTTTGAGTTTAAATATGTTGCTCAATTTGAATCCTTAACTTTAAACTGGCCAACAAAATCTTTGGAAAGGAGAGAGTTTGTCTCAGAAAAGGGAGGTTCTAGTTGGAGCAATCAGCTGCAAAAAAGCATGATAGATCTATTAGTAGAGATCAAGCTGTTTAACTCATACATGTATAATCCCTTCTATCTTTTATAAAGACCCTAAAGGTAAATTTTCTTCTTCCTTAAAAAAAATACTGCCCATAGTCTTCAAAAACTTCATTTTTTTTTAAAGAATTTATAAACATGTTTAGAATATCTTTTTATTCAGAAAATGGAGTATTTATAAAAGATGTATAATTAGAGTTTTAAAAAAATCAAAGAAGTTCTTCTCTTTAATGATGTACTCGGTGTACATTGTACTATCTAACAAATGTCTCATTTTTTTTTTCCAGAATATACTTCATATTATATAAATTAAAGGATATTATGTTCAACATTTACTAGGACATCCACGCATTGCAGACTCACAATAAAACAAAGGTTTAATAAAACGTTTCAGCAACGTTTCCAGTGTAAACTTAATATGATAAAATAAGGGCTAAATAAAACATTCAATACCACAGTCTAAATATTGGAAACTTACAATAAAACAAAGAATAAATAAAATATTCAGTTACATATGTATCGCAACCTTGCAAAAAATATTAATTTAAAAGGAGAGTGACCAAAGCATTCATCAACACATCACTTGCAGACACAATAAAACAACCAGTTACATATTTTTGCAAACCTACAATAGGACAGGGGGTTACCTTCACATTCAGTAATATATTTATTGCAAAGTTACAATAAAACAGAGTGTTATTTCAATGATAATAATCTATTGCAAACTGATGAGTGGTGTCTTTCTGTTCCACACAAAAAACGGTATGGGGCGTGCGATTATTCCAACATTTATTTATTTATGTATTCGTGTATGTACTTATATTTCTATAGGATTAGCATATTCTTTTTAAGACAGTTTTAATTAAATCCTTATAGTATCCTTCTTTACTATTTTTTTTACTCACGATCACTTAATTATTAAATATTTTTGGTATCGATACATATACATTTACAAAGTTTGTAATAAGTAAAAATTCGTTCTGCAGAATGTAGTATATGCTGATTAAAACATTCTGTAAAGCTTTCGGTAGAACATTATTAAAAATAGATAATCTAAAAGAAAACAAACTGCAATAAGGTGACCATATGAAATTTATGACTTAAGTTTCTAGCAAAGGCTTACAAAGAAACAAATGTATCACCTTAAAACTATGTAGGCAATATATAAATTTCTGACCTTGGTTTTTGACCTGAAAACAACAGCAGTCTTTTTAAAATTATTTTCGCTAAAGGTATAAATCTTCGTCGCAAATTCTCAAAAGAAATAATAAGAGTTATCACCAAGACATTTAAAATTTATATTTTAGAAATATTAACCTTATTCTGGATTTTAGATGTTTAAAAGTTTGAGTGTTTTGATGGGAATTAGGAAAACTCTTGCAACTTTTTATACCATCTTTTTTTTTAATTGGAATTTTCATGTCGTTAAACATTTGTCACATTTTTTTCATTGAAATACATTTTTTGTCTATTCATAACTGTTTTCCAAATTATTCATATGCAGATTAAGAAGAAAATTACTTAGGTTGGTTTTTGAAGATTTTTTTAAAAATAAAAATAATATTCATTTAAATATTTTGAAGTGCCGTTTTTTCTTTAAATGTATTAAAATGGTCATACTTGCAGTGAGGTTCCTGCAAATCTATAAATAAGAAATTTGAAATAAAACATTTAACCAAAATACGAAAAACAAAAAAGTCACTTAAAATATCGATGGTATCATAAGCGTCATATCGATACTTGAAATCTACATTATAAGTATTGTTGCAATTAAATATGAAATAAAATGTGGGGGTAATAGACGACTTTCACATTTATAAAAGTTATTTCCCTTTGCGGGGTCAATCTGGGATCAATCAGCGTAAGACACTGTTTTCCCTCTATACCATTACCAACTTCATGGGACAATGTCTTACAAATGAAATCTGTATGAATATGTATGTTGCCCCATACATGTACTATGGCAAAACAGGAAGATCAAATTTGTCCGATAGCGTTTAAAGGTTGACAATATTTACAGGTAAGTTACAAAGGTTATAGTGAGAAAAATGAGCATTACGCCGACAAAGGGAGATAACTCTTACGAATGTGACTTCGTCTATGAACCTCCTTGGGAATCTAAGAAATAGTTTTTGCATATATGCAACTTTGAGATAAATGTTTAATAGTAGTTCCATTCATGATTGCTGCGCATGGGCATTGTTACCATTTAAGATTTATTTTTATCTCTATCCAGAGATATTTCATTGGTGTGGACAGCTGGATGTTTGCTCTGTATTTATATGTAGGTTACTTACCCTCACTGCACATATTGTCGTCCATCGGTGCATATTGTTGCAGGTTGTAAAATTAAATATGTACATACAGTACTAGTGTACATGCATTGTTGCTGACCACAATAAGTGCCTACCCTTACTGCACATATTGTTGCTCCACTGTTAGAGTTACAGTACTATGAATGATGATGATGATATCGAAAATTATGTGTTCAATTTTCGTGAAATTGCTGACATTTTTTTTAACTCCAGTGAAGAAACTGAAATGAACGCTATACTTGTTAATAATACATCTGTACAAGGAATACTGTGAAGAGGAGTGTAGTGCAAATAACATGATTAATAGAAAATTATTAAAGGGTCAGGATTAATTCTCTCTTTTTCTTTCTTTCTTTCTTTTTTCCTCTTTCTCTCAGATTTCAATCAAACATACACTTTCTATTAAAGAAGAAGTTTTAAGACTTTCGTCTTACTGATATCCAGTACATTAAAAGTTTTCACCAATTTCACAATATGACTGAGGAAACACTGAAGAATACATCCAACTTCTATAGAAGCTCTTCCATTTTTGCTAGTAAATATATATGGACCAAATTGGATACACCAGCCTTTTATACAAACCCTTTTGAACCTGAATCAAGAAGATTACTCATCATTACTCATCATTATAGTTGTGATATTAATTTAATTTTTGATAAGGATCTGGATTCTATGAAAACTTAAATAATTCTAAATCAAGAACGGAAGTCTTAAAAATGATGGACACACTAAATTTGAAAGATATTTTCCGTAAAAATAGTCCAAAATTTAAAAAGATTCACTTGAAGAAAAAATCCAATGAAACAGGCAAGACTTGATTACGTCCTAATATCAGAATCATTACTCAATTTGGCCCCGTATGTAAAGTTATCGTTAAGATCACTGTCAAGTTGTTATGGGTGTTAAAACAAATGAATTTCTTAAAGGGAGAGGGTTTTGGAAATTATTGGAAATCTCTACTTGCTGATAAAGAATATGTAAATCTCATAAAAGAAAAAAAATTAAATTACATCATGCTTGCCATGTTTATAATTTTGATACTATTGATTCTATTGAAAATGATACTATTCAGTTTACTTCAAGTCATCATTTGTTCATAAATACATTAGTGATGGAAATAAGAGGAAAATCGCTTATATTTCTTATTCAACTTATAAGAAAAAGAAAATAGCGAAAAAGAATTAGAGAACATCAGAAAAATCAAATTTAAGGGTCAGTGCATCAGGTCAAAAGTAAAATGGATAGAAGAAGGAGGAAAACCTTCAAAATATTTTATCAGTTTTGAGTCAAGAAACTATCTGAGTAAAGTTATACCTTAAATTGAAAAGGAGGATGGATCAGTTATTTTTAACCGATATTTTGAATTAAGTTTAGATGTTCCATGAAAATCTTTATAAAAGTAGGGAGAATGTGGAATCGGGGTGCATTCATGACAAATTGAAAATATATGATGTTCCTAAATTAAATAAAAAGAAATCAGACAGTCTTGAAGGCCCAGTGAACAATTCTGAAGTTCTTATTTTTTTTTGAAAATATGAAAAAGATGAACCATTTGATATTGCCTATTCCAAACCCTAACAAGGAACTTCTAGAAGAATTTGAGAAAGACCTTAATAGTTTTCTTCTTTCTGTGGGGAAGTAAAATTCATAAGTTAAGGAAAACGTTATAATTCAAGATTATAGAAATTGGGGGTTGAAATGATTGAATATATGGAATTTTTATTTGTGTTAAAATCAACATGGATCCTAAGATTGATTCACTCAGACACAAATTGGCTAAAACTTCTTTAATCATCATTAGGAATGAAAATTGAATCTTTATGGGTAAGGGGTTTAGACTTAAATGTTAACATATGTGATAAAGTAAGTAACAAGATTTGGAAAGAAGTTTTACTTACTTGGATCAAAATCATGGACTGCGGTAGCCAAAAGAAAAAAATGTAAATTCTTCCTGAAAATATGTGGTTTAATTCAAGAATTAAAATGAAAAACTCATCTATATTTTTGAAAAGTTATTTTGGTGCAGGCTTTGTTTTTATAACAGATCTGCTTAACTCTGAAGAAAAATTTGTAAGCTTTGAGTAACTCACAAATCTAAATGTAAAAAAAATGTAGAATATAAGTATATAAGTTTAAAAGTAACTGTTTTAAAAATATATACATAGAGAAATTGAAAAAAAGAGAAGAAAAGAGACCATTTATCCCTAATTCTCTTTATATTCTTTACAAAAGCACAAAAGGCTGAAAAGATATATACAATATTCTCATTAAGAAGAAAAAATCGAAACGATGAAGGCAATGGAAAAATGGGGAAATAATGAAATTTTTTTTTTCGGGATATAGAATAGAACAAAACATTTGAGCTTCCTTTTAAAGTCAATAAAAAAGCAAACTTAAGTTTCACTCGTTGCAGTTTCAGATTTTGC